GGATAAGCTTAACCTATGGCGGGGTACTCAATCCCTGGCCTGTGGACCACATCCAGTCCCTGGCACCATGTCACCCAGCCCAGACAGCTCCCCATAGGTCTGGGAGTTTGGCAGTGGGGGAGTGGTGGCACCATTCCCTTGCTGTCAAAGTTCCCAATGCATGCAGAGCACCAGGTCCTATATGCTTGAATGGACACCTGGTCCCAGTGGGCAGGGGCAGTAATGGGTCCCAGGCCCCAATACCAGTGGGGGGGGCAGGAAGGGGGTAATACCAGGCCCCTGGGGCCCAATTCCAGAGCACATGGGGGCAAAAGAGGGTGGTGCCAGGCCACCAGGGCCCAGTCATGGCACACAGGGCAGGAAGGGGGTGGTGCTGAGCCCCAGGGCCTGATTTGGCCCTGCATGACTATTCAGGCCCATGGGTCTACTCTGGCCGTGACCACTAACGTAGGCCAGAGACAGAGCAGTATACCGTTTGGAAGGGGGTCACTTTTGGATCAGGAATGCACAATAGTGGACCCAGTGTAACCACTTTGTCTGTCCACCCCAATACTGGTATAAGTGGACCTACACCACTGCTATTTTAAATCTGAATGAAAGAGGACAGGTGCATTATAGCTCCTTCTTTTTATTTTTGGTTAGGACTTGCTACATCTCATTAAGAGGTAACTGGTATGGGCCTCTTTCACAGAGGACACTTGCTTGGATGGATCCGCACTTTTGCCTACCAAGACAGTCTCTGTAATTGTGCAAATAGTTTTATACAAAGATAAATTGTGTTAATTCTCTACTTTACAGGCTTTGCTGTCCTTCTGCATAGAATTTTGGCATCATTACTTTAACATGTGCATAATTAATGGAACAGTTTCTCTCAACTAAGAGAGAGTGTTAGAGTGATGTTGTAGCCATGATGGTCCAGGAAATATGCATGATGCAAAGATTTCTTAGGGTGATATATTTTATTGCATGCAGTTGGTCCAATCAAAACTATCACCCTATGACAGGGGTGCTCAACCCCTAGTTTGTGGGCCAGATCAGGTCTGCAGGACACTGTTATCCAACCAGCAGGGCTCCCCACAGGCCCAAGAATGTGATGGCAGCTAACTGCTGCTCCCCTGCTGTCAAATTTGCAGGCTGAGAGAGCCCAGCAGATGGGACAGCATGGCCTTGCCCTGTGTGCCAGATGGAGAATACAGGCTGAATAGGGATGGCACAAGTGTGAGTTGGGTGGTACAGGGCAGCACGGAGTGGTAGGGGGCAGACCAGGATGGTAGGGGGCCACGTGGGGCAGCACAATCCCAGGGCATGGCACAAATCCAACTTGGGGACCAGCCACTCACCACCTATCCAGCTCACGTGGCAAGAAGTTTGAGCTCCACTACCCTAAGAAATCCTTGCTTCATAAAGGCTAACTCATGACATGAACATGGGTTCACAAAAGCTTGTGCTCTCTATTTTATTTAGTGTATAAAAGTACATATCTAGACTGCCTTCTGCCCAATTCCCAAACCACATGGCACACAGGTACCAGGACTCAGCTTTGTTTTAAGGCTAGAGGGTCTTGCCCCTCCACTTAAGACCAGATCAATCTGCACATTTGGGGTAGGAAGGAATTTTACCCCAGGTCAAACTAGTTAAAGACTGCGAGGGGTTTCTGGCTTCCTCTGTAGCCAGGGGCATGGCCCTCAACCTGGGATCTCTTAGTGTATATTAAAAATGTTTTTATAGGAGCAGGCCCTGCTGTGACCCCCTGCTTTACCTGTGACGGGCTAGGGTGTCATGCCTTGTGCCGTCTCAGAGCTGTTGGCACTTATGCACAGCTTAGAGGATGGATTTGTATTGCCACGCTGTTTTGTTGTGGCGTGTTGTGTCATGTCAGGGCTGCCAGCAGTCCAACAGGGAGTTCAGAAGATGTTGTGTTGTGTTGTGTTCTGCAGCGTCAGGGCTGCTGACAGTTTTACGCAGAGTTTAGAAGATGGATTTGTATTGTGTTGTACTGTATTGTATTGTGTCGTGTCATGTGAGGACTGCCAGCAGTCTTACGCAGAATTTAGAGGGTGGATTTGTCTTGTGTTATGTCGTTTTGTTGTGTCATGTTGTGTTGTGTCTGTCCCGCCAGGGCTGCCGGCAGCCCAACAAGGAGTTTAGAAGATGGATTTGGGTTGGGCCACGTGGTGTCAGGGCTGCAGGCATCTTATGCAGAACTCAGAGGTCTGTGTCATGTTAGGCTGTGTTGTGTTGTGTTGTGTTGTGTCCCGGCAGGGGTGCCGGGCAGTCTCGCACGAGAGTTCAGAGGGCGGCTTTGCCTAGCGCAGCTTCGAGAGGGACGAGCCTGCCTCGGACAAAACAGCCCCTGCAGCTCCCTCCCAGCCCCGCTTCTCCCCCCTCCCATGTCTCTGTGCCTCCAAGCCCGACGCTGCCCGCGGTGCCCCAGGACCAGCCCGCTCGCCGGGAGGGCACGGGCACTGGCGAGGTGCCTGGGGGCATCCCCGGACCGCCCCACATGCGTGGCACCGACCTCACGCCCGTGCCCGGAGGGGGGAAGCCGGGGGGAAACAAACCCCATCCCACCCGTTGTCTCAGGCCAGGTCCCCTCCTCCCCGCCCTGGGGCGGGGCAGCCCAGGCTGCCCCCAGCCACTGCCCCCTGCACCTGCTGCGCCACGCGTGCCCGCCCCACCCATTCCCCGCCACGCGCCCCTCCCCCCGCCGCGTTCCAACGGCTGCTCACTCACCGCGGGGCGCGCCCGGCACGAGCCCGGTCCTGCCCCTTCCTATCCCACTGCTGCCGCGCTCACAATGAGCCAGCGCACCCCTCCCGCAAGCCGGGCTGGGGTACTGCGCAGGCGCGGTCTGTCTCGCTCCACTGCCTATTGGGAAATGTAGTGCTTCCTTGCCCGCATACTCAGGCAGGAAAAATTAGTAGCTACGTCACAACGCGTGCTGGTGTCAGAAGCTCTAAAGCTCAGCTGAGCAGCTTCGCTGTAGAGGGGGGAATTAGCTCAAATGGTAGAGCGCTCGCTTAGCATGCGAGAGGTAGCGGGATCGATGCCCGCATTCTCCAGCGGAAGTCTCTCTTTTGCTTCAGAACTAGGGTCCTGAAAGACAACCAGGTAGGGGAGCCCAGCCTGATTAAGAAAGGCTTCCCCAAGCCAGTCTGTATTATTGCACCTGTGCCCAATATGCAGAGCATTCATGAGTGACAGAAAACGTCAGGGCTGGTGCTCCCTGCCGGTGTTCATGCTTCCTCTGCAGGCATGATGTACGGGACCCTGCCTTGCAAATGACCCCCTGCCCTTTACATGTCACCCTAGACTCCAAGCTGGCTGGCTGCACTATGCTACTGTCTGAATAAGAGTCCTGCTGAGCACCCCAGTGCAGTACAAAATGCTCATGGAAATAAAATTTCAGTGACTAGAACACACACATATATTTTACACAAAAATAATGCCTTTCTGTGTATCTTTCAGGGATCGGATGGCTCTTTAAATGTTAAATTTGTGACCTGTTTAGTAGGGTTGGTGAAGAAAGAAAGTTAAAAGAAATGCTCCTGATGTCCCTGCAGCAGGGAATTCAGTGCGTCCCATGGATGCAGCAGGCTTCAGGCCTCCTGCCTGTATCCCGTAAACCCCAAAATGCCTTTTTTTTTTTGGTCTTCAGTACAATTCACTGAGCTGGAGAAGTAATGAGAATAGCCTGAGGAGCTCCTCAGCAAGGGCAAATGCCATTTAGCCAGGGACTTTTGCCAGATTAAAAATGTGTGCTTCACTCAACAGATGAACAGAGCCCAGAAATCCAGAAGAAAACAAAGCCAAGCTCTTTGTGTTCTTCGATTTTGGGAAGACAGGGTTGGAAGATTTAATACCCATCTTAAAATAAGCAAAATACCCCAATAATAAGAAAAAAGAAACAGAACCCTGAAACTGAGCGTCATCAGATTTAATGAATCTATTCATCCAAAAGAAAAAATAAACTGCTATGACGGTTGGCCTGTCAGAAACGGTCTGACACTGAAGTTATAAATCACATCCATGTATGACATGCAATAGCTTACCACGCATGTCCAGAAAATTACCTTTCTGTTCACCTTCATCTTGCAATAGGCAGGGTGGAATTTAACTTTCAACTGGCCAAATAGGGAGAATTACCCACCCCCTACTGAACAATTTCAAAATCATCAAATACTGGTGCAAAATAAGCATGCAAGGGGAAAGCTTGTCCTTAGGCTGAGCTAGAAATTTTACAGTTTGACTTTGGAGTTGTTGGTTATAGCCATGTTGGTCTAAGGCGGGGTGGGCAAAATGCGCCCCATGGGCCAGATGTGGCCCGCCAGGCCATTCTATCCGGCCTGCAGGGCCCCTAAAAAATTTAGAAAATTAATATTTATCTGCCCTAGGCTGCCTGTCATGCGGCCCTCGATGGCTTGCCAAAACTCAATAAGCAGTCCTCTGCCCAAAATAATTGCCTGCCCCTGACTTAGCTCCTGGGCCCACACCCTGAACCTACAGTATGGGAACACACTGCATGTTCTCTGTACGTCCAATGTTGCTCCAGGAAGTTACCCAGAACAACAGTAGACTGTCAATGATTGCACTATCATTTAAGTCATTTAGTTCTCTGAGCAGAGTAAGGGCCTCTGAGTATATCCCACTAGCAGCTGTCTTCTCCTCTCTTGCATCAATGTTGTGCACACATATTTTGTATAAACTAGGGCTGTCCAACTTTTAAGTGGTTGGGGGCCACACACCCTAGAGGCCACATTAATGTGCGTCACAGGCCCCTGGAACACCCCTCCCCTGCACCACATATGGACAGTCCCCCTGCCACTGAACCATGCCCACCAGCAGCCATTGCGCTGCACAGGCACCCTCCCTCACTCCACTGCATTCCCCTGGCACTGTAGGCTGCGCCGCCCTGCCCTCTGGGGCGACAGCAAGAAGCAAAATCTGAGGGAGGGATAGAGAGCCAAAAGACACTAGCTGCAGCAATAAGGGGGTAAGGGTCAGGTAGGTGACCAGGAGCCACATGTTAGCCCCTTGATGCCATATGCAGCCCAGAGGCTATTGTAGACAGCTCTAGTATAGGCCATATAAGGTTTGCATTGTACCTTTCTGCAGGGTCTCAGCTGCTGCTGCCTCACCTTTGCCCTTGCCCACCTTCAAGCGGTACAAGGAGTGCTATGACTCCATCTCCTGTTTGTGCATCCCCAGCATCCCAAATGCGCCGCTTCTGCAGTAACCTTTATTTTGCAGTATGACAACTGCAAGCCTCCATTATAACCTCTATTGCAGTTCCCTTTCCACTTAATCACAACTGTCCCTTTAATGGGAAGTCTCCTAGGGAACTGGAGGAAGAAACAGTTCAACTGAACAACTACTAACAAAAAATACCCCTTGGAGAGAGATGCAATTGGCTGCTGAAATGTCATTAAGGCGCTTAAGAGGGTAACATCTATAAAATCTTAGTCGCCCGCAGCTTTGTTACAATACATCACAGGAATGGAGAATATTGACAGACAACAACTGCAGAGCAAAGTTTGAAAAACAAAAGACGTGATTTCTAATTTCTAATTAGCCCAGGGTTCTTAAACTGGCCTTTTAAAACTGATGTATATTCAGGTTTTCTTAATTCAAGGCAGACATATGAATTAATCAGATGTCTCTAATACAGCCCTGAAAAGTTATACACAATCTATCTGGGTATTTCATAGATTTTAATAGATTTTATAGACATTAGGGCTGGAAGGGACCTCAGAAATCATCATGTCCAGCCCCCTGCCCCCGGGGGAAGGAAATCAGCTAGGGGTAAAGGATCCCAGAAAGATAGACGTCCATAGATTTCATAGACATTAGGGCTGGAAGGGACCTCAGAAATCATCATGTCCAGCCCCCTGCCCCCGGGGGAAGGAAATCAGCTAGGGGTAAAGGATCCCAGAAAGATAGACGTCCATAGATTTCATAGACATTAGGGCTGGAAGGGACCTCAGAAATCATCATGTCCAGCCCCCTGCCCCCGGGGGAAGGAAATCAGCTAGGGGTAAAGGATCCCAGAAAGATAGACGTCCATAGATTTCATAGACATTAGGGCTGGAAGGGACCTTGGAAGAAAATTTGCATGCAACAGTTAATTGACAGACTTTCTGATCTCTTCTTTCATGAGCTATGCAGCCCACAGGAGGACTTTTCTCAAACAGTGAGCCTCTTCTTAGGGTTCAGGTTCTCCTTCTTACTGGCAGCTTTTAATGACTCCCCTTATGTGTCAAACGTCAGCCCCCAAATCCCAGTGAAATCTTGAATAACACTGGAATATGTGTGTGTCCTGGAAAAGCCGAATGCCCAGCTTAGCTCCAGACAAAACCAAAGTGAGTCTGTAGTGACCTCTGCAGGTAGACACAAAACTTTCCCTTTAGCTTGCACAGAGTTTCAGGCCATTTGAAACATCAGGTATAAACAAGTCTGTAGAAAAATACATAAACACCTCATTGAGAGCAGCAGTTCTCAACCTTTTTTAGACTCGAGGCACCCTTCATTGGACGTGCAGCACCCATCCATAACTTTTGTGCACTGAGTGGCACCCAAAAACTACTTTATATACCACAGTGTTTACCTCCTTGCACAGGGGCGGGGCAGTGGAGGTAAGGGATCATTCCTGCAGCGACAAGCCTGAACCTGTGTTTATCTAAGTAGCTTATCTGCTTCTCTCCTCACACCTGGGGGTACACTTCAAAAGACCTGGTGGCACCCCAGGATGCCCTGGCACCCTACCTGAGAATCAAGGAGTTAGAGAAAGGCCTTGTCTCATGGCTTCTCTAATCCCTTCCACAGAACTGCAGCAAGACTGGGTTCTTTATTTCTGCAGCATCCCTGATAAAAAAAGTAACCAAAAAACTTTAAAGAGCCCCAATAACAGCAATCCCACAGCTTTAATCGGTCAGTGGTTCTCCTGCTCACACTAAATCTTGTTCCAACTATCAGGCTACGTGCTCTGTGTTGTCCCATTGCAGCTTGCTCTGTTCTTATTGACTAAAATGTTGGCAGTGGGTGACCACATCAATAATGCCCTTCCCCACGTACCGTGCACATAGCTTCTAATTCCAGAACACTAACATTCTTGTTTTCCAAGGAGGTAGGTATTTCATTATCCAAATTATTATACAAAGGACAGTTTTCTAACTCATACAAAAGTAGGAAATATTTACAACCAACAACCCTGAAACATCTTCCTACATTTTGTGTTGTGGATAATATCAGGATGCTTGAATTATTAGTAATTCTTCTCTAATGTATTTCCTGTGCCATGACATAGTTAACTGGCCTGTTGTTAAGTAGTTGTGCTGCCTAAGGAAGGAAAAGGGAGTTTGTATTGGGGTTTTTCTGATGGATTTTTATGATAGAGCATAAATGAATTACTTGGGCATTCACAGCTTTAAGCTGAATTCTCCGCTGTGGCTCAGATGAGCTGACAGCAGCACCAAAGAATAGAAACGGTAATGATTCCTGGTAATGACTCATCTCTATGCTATTATAGTGTCAGTTAGAACAGGGGTGCTCAACCTCTGGCCTGTCACCAAATTTCCTGACCTATGGGGAGCTCTGTGGGACAGGTGTCATGGATTTGGCCTGTAGGCCGGAGGTTGAGTGCCTCCGAGTTGGAGAATAAACTAAGGTTATTCTGATCTGCACTGCCTGGCTCCTTCCTCTCCACTATGGTTACTGTGGTAATGTCATAGACTAGCACTTCACTGTGCTATCTCCTGGGGCTTTCCCCCCACCAGGGGATTCATTAGTTGGGGGGAGTCCAGTA